ACTTTGTTTTGTTCACCACCGGAGGGACGTGTGAGATACACGGTGGTCTTCGGACCATCTGCCAGTACCTGACTCACTCGCTTGAGGTTAATCACGTGTTAAATACATCTGTTGAAAGCCAGCCACTTTACAGTTTTACAATAAAAAAGTGAATATCGAGAAAAAAATAGAAAGATAAAATGAAGAAGAATCACTGAAGGTATTGTGAGCTGAGAGGAAGTAAGAAGGGCACATATGCTTGTGACTGAGACGCCGCCGTCACTTTGTGAGGCAGGAGGGCAGGATCTCCTTTCTGTTTACCCTGGCAAGCGTGGGGAGGAGGGGGGGGGAGCGAAATAGTGAAAATGGTGAAGTGGTGAGAGAGTAGGGAATGGTGGTACGGGGCGGGGAGTGTGTGAGTGGTGGTACGGGGCGAGGGAGTGTGTGAGTGGTGGTACGGGGCGAGGGAGTGTGTGAGTGGTGGTACGGGGCGAGGGAGTGTGTGAGTGGTGGTACAGGGCGAGGCTGTGTGTGAGGTGGTGGCACCAGGGCAGGGTGTGTGGTGGTGGCACAGGGCCGAGGTGTGGTGGTGGCTCAGGGCAGGAGATGTGTGAGGCCAAGTGGCACAGGGGCGAGGTCTGAGTGGTGGCACAGGGGCGGGGGGTGTGTGAGGTGGTGGCACAGGGGGCGGGGAGTGTGTGGTGGTGTGGTGCAGGGCGAGAGTGTGTGAGTGGTGGTACAGGGCGAGGAGTGTGTGAGTGAGGCAGGGCGAGGTGTGTGAGTGGTGGTACAGGGCGAGTGTGTGAGTGTGGTGCAGGGGCGAGGTGGTGTGAGTGGTGGCACGGGGCAGAATGTGTGAGTGTTGGCACAGGGCAGGTGTGTGAGTGGTGGCTCAGGGCGAGTGTGTGGTGGTGGCACAGGGGCGAGGTGTGGTGGTGCAGCACAGGGGCGGGGGTGGTGGCACAGGGGCAGAGTGTATGTGAGTGGTAGCACAGGGCAGGGAGTGTGGGCTGGCACAGGGCTTAGAGTGTGTGAGTGGTGGCACAGGGCAGGGGAGTGTGTGGTGGTGACACAGGGCAGGGAACTGTGTGGTGGTGGCACAGGGGCGGGGAGTGTGTGAGTGGTGGCAAGGGGCAGGAGGTGTGTGGTGGTATGGGCAGGAGGTGTGTGAAAGGTGGTACGGGGTGGGGCAGTATGTGAAAGGAGGTACGGGGCATGGCGGGCGGGGAGTGGAGAAGGAAAGTAATGGCGGGGAGAAGAGAGGAAAATGGTACAGAATTTACAAAATTAAATAAAACAGGAGGGAAAGAGCAGCGTCTGATGCTACTAGAGGGAGGGTGCCAGTGGTGAAAGACAGAGAGAGAGAGAGAGAGAGAAAACTTGTGGGGTAAAAATGGTGTAGAGTAGAGGAAGACCTGAGAGGGAGGGAGGGAAGTGGATATACGATGCCAGCCGAGGGAGCCGTCGACACAGTGCCGGGGATGAGAAGCATTAGTAAACACCAACACAAAAGGTTCTCAGCCTTTTCAACGTCGAGCCCCATCTTCATCCCCCTCTCCACACACACACACACACACCTTCACTTTCTTTTCTTTCTCTCCTCCTCTCTCGTTTCCTCCTCCTCTCTTTCTTTTCTCCTCTTCTCTCTCTTTTTCCTCCTATTCTCTACTCTTTTTCCCCTCTCTGCTCTCTCTTTTTCTCCCGCCTCTCTCTTTCCCCCTCTCTCTCTCTTTCTCCTCCTCCTCTCTCTCTTTCTCCTCCTCCTCTCTCTATCTCTCCTCCTCCCACGATTCTCCGCCTGTTCAACGTAGAGTCCCATCTTCCTCCCCCCCTTTTTCTCTCCTCCTCCTCCTCTCTCTCTCACCCCCCAACCATCAGGTCTGACTATCTTGGTCCCCCCACGCTCTGGTTCTTTTTTTCCCACCAAACATTCCCGTCTTTTCTCTCCACACCTTCTCGTTTCCTTCTTGGTTCCTCTTTACACCTCCATCACTCAACTCTCTGACATTATTTGTGTTGTAGCCGTCATCGGGGGCCCTGCCAGTACAGTTCCGGCGGGTGGAATACAGTAAGTTCCTCTCCTCTACCATCATAAGTGTTCCAATGGATTCGGATTATTTTTTATACAAAATTACTTCATCTCAAGCATTCAAATTTTCTTCCTGAAGTAATTTAATCAATTTTACCATCAAGGCTAAATTATCGTACTTGAATTATTTTGCTAACCTACTGTACTTAAGGACTCAAGTTATTGTACTCAAGGTATTAATTATCTTATAGTCAATGCTTATGTGGTTATACGAGAATGGGTTTGTTATTAGGAGTCAATTGTATTTTTGTGGCGCAGGTCATTAAGTTTAAAGAGTCAGCTCACTGTATTAAAGAAGTCAAGTCACCACGTTTTAGAAATAATGTCATCGCTTTCAAGGTGTCACCGCTTTGTAGGTCATTTCAACTCGTTCAAGTGGTCAGGTCAACGGGTTTAGGGGGTCACATAGCCATGGTGTTGGAGTAGAAACACATTAGTGAGGGAGGGGGTGGGTGACCTTGCCCCCTCAGCCCCTCCTTTGCTACTACTATCTCAGGGAGCTGCAGCCCCCACCATCCTGGCATCTGAAGACCTCGTCCTACGAATCGATACTGGCCTCTTCAAGACTCTCCTTCCTCGCTCTCACTGCTCTCTCTCTCTCTCTCTCTCTCTCTCTCTCTCTCACATGTTTTCTCTTATTTTGGGGGTATCTTTATCTCTCTTTATTTTAATCTCTCTCTGTATCTCTGTCTCTTTTACCTCTTCCTCTCATTCTGTTAGTGTGGTCCTATCTCCCTTTACATTGTATATCTCTCTCTGCGTATGTGTGTCTGTATATAATTATAATATGTATGTATCTAAGGTTTGTCTCGGTCTCTCTATCTCTCTCTCCCCCTCTCTCTCTTCTTATGACTGTGGCCCAAGTTTACTATTGTTCTCAGCAACTTTCCTCCAAGTCTCTCTCTCTCTCTCTCTCTCTCTCTCTCTCTCTCTCTCTCTCTCTCTCTCTCCCTCTCTCACGGGCCGTCCATCGACAGACAGGGAGAAAACAACATCGGGCGGAGTAACATGAAATTCTTTTTAGGTTGTGGACCAGCGAACGTGACTAGAAACCTTTCCTTCCTTCCTTCCTTCGACCACTTCATTCTCCTCTTCCTTTTCCTTCCCACTGCCACTGTCTCTTCAGTTACTACGTTTCCTCCTCCACCTCCTCCTTCCCTTTCTGCATTACTGTCTCCTCCTCCTTCCCCTTCCACTACCATTGTCTCCTCCTCCTCCTCCAACGCCACAACTCTCTTTTCTTTTGTCTGTTTCTCCCCCACCATTTTTTTTTACTCCTCCTCTTTCTCCCCTTCCTCCTCCTCCTTCCCTTTCTGTTACTACCCTCTCCTCTCTCCTCCTCTTCTTCTTCCTCCTCCGGCCTTTCCTCGGGGATTTCCGCCTCCCTGCGCACAAAATGGCGCCCAGGGTGTGTCAACATGGAGGAAGGGAGGAGGAGGAGGGCTGTGTGTGTGAGTCGAGGGGAGAGACCTGGGTGAGGGAACGGATGCTGAGGGGAACAAAGCAGGGTGGAGGGGCGGATGAGGAGAAGGAGTGGGTGAGGGGAGGGGAGGGGAACAAGCGGATGAAAGAAGAAGACGAGCAAGCAGGGTGAGGGGAGAAGGGCTGTGTGTGGTGAGGTGAGGGGAAGGGAGGGGGGGCGGATGGGGGGAAAGATTTGGATGGAGGACGGACGCTCAGGGGAACAAAGCAGGGAGCAGGGGGGGTGAGTGAGTGGGCGGGTGAGGTGAGGGAAGGAGGGGGCGGCTGAGGGGGGTCGAGCGGGTGATGGGAGGGGAGCAAGTGGATGAGATAAGAGGGAGAAGGAGGAAAGAGAGCGAGGGAGGAGTTAAAGGAGGAGGAAGGAAGTAAGGAGCAAGGAAGGAGAGACAGTTAGGGTCGGAGAGCGAGTGTGAAGGGAGATAGGAAGATAATAAGAGAGAAAGAGCGAGGATACAAAAATTAAAGATGTGAGAGGGGAACGGGAAGGAAGAAGAAAAAATTGGAAAAGTGGGAAAAATGAGTAAGAAAATGATGACATTATTATTGTGTGAGAGAGAGAAGAGAGAAATGGCAGTAACAAAATAGATTGAAAGAAAGAGGGTAGGAGATGAAGGAGAGTGGGGGGAGAGGTTGGCATTTGACGACAGCTGAGGGGAAGACACCAGGCGAAGGAGAGTGTGGGAGAGATGGTACAGTGTTGGAGAGGAGGAGGAAGAAGAAAGGCAGTATTGGGAGAGGAAGAGGAGGAGGGGGAAGAGGAGGATGGGGAAGAGGAGAGGCAGGAAAAGAGGTAGAGGAAGATAAGGAAGTGTCGTGAGAGGAGGAGGAAAAGAAGAGGCATCAGAGGAGAAAAGGATAATATTTAATATAGGTAAGAGGGACTGGGCCAAAGTGTGGAGGAAGGCAGCAGTGTTGGGGGAAGACACGTTAAAAAGTGGGTCAGACAACGACTACCATTATAGAGAAGGAGAGAACAAGTTAAAAGCTATATCATTTGTCTGGTAGAAGTAGGTGACTGTATAATACTACACTAATGTAATTTCTGGACCTGAAATTTCATATTTAAAAACTGTGGCTTTTGTTTTGTTTATGTGAAAGACAAGTTGGGTTTGGTTTGGTGTCGAGTTCAGGTCAGGTATTAGTGAGTACATAATATATCCGTAGTGATATTAAAATGAGATATTAATGTAATCCTAACTGAAGACGTTTAGCCGCCTTGAAGCTAGAACACTGGCTTACAACTCTCAAGTTTTGGTCTTGATGGTAACTTTATGGTTTGGCTACGAAAAATTTGTTTCATGGATAATGATGATTAAGAGCGGTGATAAGTGTGTTGATCAGGACATCACGACCACAGCGCTTCTGGTGGTGATCTGTGGGGACACTAGCGTCTGAGGGGGTGGGTGACCAGCAGATCATGTAAGTGTTCCCTCTCAATACCCTGCTCCTCGATACCTGCACCTCAGAACGGAAACTCCCAGGTGGGAAGACTGCCCACTCCTGGGAGGTTCCCCACCCCAGGAAGGCCTCCCACCCCAGCTAGACCGCCCACCCCTGGCAGGCCACCTACACCAGGCAAGCCGCCCACCCCAGGCAGACCGGCCACTCCGGGGGCGGCACACTCCGGCACCTCGGGCTTGACCCCTCGCGTCTCGCTCTCCTTGAAACTTGCGATAACATCCCCTAGCTTGAGGCCGTCGGGAGGGCGAGGGAGGGGCTGGCGTCAGTGGTCGAAGTAAGAGTTCTGCATGAGGTAGAGCTTGTCGATGGGGTTGATCTGCGGGTACATAGTCCCGGCCACGCCCACCATGGCCGGCACATCAGGGGGCGCCTGGCTGGGCGGGGGCGCCGCACCGCCACTCGACGACCTGCACAGAGACACAGAAAACGTGGCATTGTATCTCACCTTCAGGAGACACCAACGGTATCATATAAATACAAATTTACGGTCTTGTTTTATACATTACTTCATCACAAGACAATATTTGGGATTACATTACTCAAGGCTTAAGTCTCTCATAGTAATTGAAGTCATTTTGCTACTCCAGGTAAGGGTAAGTTTGTATGGGACAATTAGTAGATGGTTAGAGGTATTGTGAATAAAAAAATAAGGAAAGTGAGTTAGGTGTAACTCACATCTCGGCTTGGTCGTCAAACTGGTCCATGCGGCCTTCCTCGAAACTGATGTCGGAGCCGCAGAAGGAGTCGCCGCTATGGGCTGGGAAGCTCTCGCCCTCAGGGGAGTACGGCACAGCTGAGCTCTTGGGCGTCGTCGCGTACGGTGAGTCTAACGAGTCAATGGGGGTGAGGCCTCCATACTGACCTGGAGGAGAGACAGAAGGTGGGTTGTTACTGTAGTGAAGAACTTAAGTTGATGTGTCATTGCTCACTACTGTAGGAGGGGCAGAAGGTGTGTTGTTACTTTTGTGAAGGACCACGAGGTTGTGACAGTCTTTATTACTCGGATTATGATAAGTGTGAGTTGTAGGGCGCGGGGTTATTCATTAAACCTAATAGAAAAAATATTGTGATGTATTGAAACCCAGCTGTTATAGAACACATGTTATAGAACACAGATGTTATAGAAAGCGGAGAGAACACAGCTGTTATAGAACACAGAACACAACAGGCTGAACGAACACAAACATACAAAACAAATTATCTTTTACGACTCTGGAAAAAGAAACAGCCATTATATATTTTTCAAATCTACGTTTTACAATTTTAATGAAAGCTTTTGTCAATGTTTATTTCTATCGTTACTTGTAGTTTATATGCCGCAAAAACTTATATATATATATATATATATATATATATATATATATATATATATATATATATATATATATATATATATATATATATATATATATATATGTATATATTCGTATAAAGTGTAACCATGGTTGCATATTGATGTGTGTGTATGCAATATGTGCATGTGTATATATGTATATAGTATGTGCGTGTACATGTACAGTATATGTATGTATGGTATGTACTGTATGCCTAACTTACCTTCTCCACTTCCCTCTTCTTCCCCCTAACTTCCTTGCCTTCTTCACTTCCCTCCTCCTCCTTATCCTCTCCACTTCCCTCTTCTTCCCCCTAACTTCCTTGCCTTCTTCACCTCCTTCCTCCTCCTTATCCTCTCCACTTCCCTCTTCTTCCCCCTAACTTCCTTGCCTTCTTCACTTCCCTCCTCCTCCTTATCCTCTCCACATCCTCTTCCCCCCCTTCGTCTTTCTTACCTTCTCCACTTCCTTCCTTCTTCCCTCCTTCTCCCTTGTCCTCCTTCTCGTCCTTGTCGTTATTGTTGTGTTCTGTTTGTTTGGCTCTCCGCTGCAGTTTCTTCATCTTGGCTCTCTGATTCTGAAACCACACTTGTACCACTCTCACGCTTAGACCTGTCTCCTTGGCTAGCTGTTCCCGCACCTGTGGAGGGAAGGTGAGGGGGTGTTAACTATTGGGTATTAACTATGGGGAGTGTTAAATTGGGGTGTTATTTGAGTCTCCTTGGTTAGCTGCTCCCGTACCTGTGGGGAGAAGGCGAGGGGGTGTTAACTCAGGGGTGAACAGTAAGGGGAGGCATTAACTGATGGGCGGACAAAGAGGGGGTTAACTTAGTGGGTTAATGAAGGGGGAAGGTTACCTGTGTGAACTACTTAATTCGGTTCCCTAAAATAATAATAATAGCAGTCACAACAACAACAACAACAATAATAATAATAATAATAACAATAATAATAGTAATAACAACAACTACAATAATAATAATAATAATAATAATAATAATAATAATAATAATAATAATAATAATAATAATAATACCCAGAGCTTGATTCAGAGAGAGAGAGAGAGAGAGAGAGAGAGAGAGCGTAAATCACCTCCCCGAGAGCTTGAAATATGCAAATGAGACAGGAGGGAGGAGGAGGAGAGGAAGTGAAGGAGGGCGTCTGAGTGTTATAAGATGAGGGTCACTCAAGACGACAGTGAGGTGCATTAACTGGTTCCTCCTCCTCCTCTTCCGTGACCACCATCTCCTCTTCTTCCTTCTTCTCCTCTCCCTCCGTCTCCACCATCTCCTTTTCTTCCTCCTTCTCTGTGACCACCTTCGTCACAACCAAACAAATACGGTCTTCCTAAAACCTCATCTTTCTCGGGACTTGAATTTAAACCTGTATACAGAAACTATAGTCCAGGTACAGTAATTCCTGTAAGTTAATCGTGTGAAATACAGTGCTTCAATCCACCAAGTAGTGCTTCAGTGACTGTATTTTATATTAACCATTTCTCGTATAATTAACTGTCTCTATAATCGATATTACTGTAACTTTTAGCTGTCAATATAATCAATAACTGCAGCTATCAGTGTGGTCATGACGTAATCTTAGTCTCGGTCAACTGATTGTCAACATTTTCCAACATATAACCAAACATTAACCTTTCTATTAACTGTTGAATATTCCTATGTAATTGAATAGGAATAACTTAAAAGCATAGAGGATAATTTAATTGTATCTTAACTGTATATAACTATATCTGACGTCCATGGTGAGTGACTGGAGGAATACGTGAGTCATGATGAGCAAGTGAGTAATTTATGTGTCTTCCATTAGTGATTAAATCATTAGACTGATACGTTTTTTTTTCTCATTCATTCCAGTTTAATCGTTCTGCATCCTCCCTCCCTCTCTCCCTCCCATCTACTTTCTTCCTTTATTCTACTTCCTTGTCCTCTGTTCATTTATCAACTTCCCTGCCCTGTTGTCCTTCCCTCCTTCACTCCATCTACTTCCTTATCCTCTCCCCTGCCCTCCCTCCCTCCTCCACCTACTCTTCTGCCCTACCCTCCCTCCACCTCCTCCCCCTGCCCTCCCTCCTTCCACCTCCTTCCCTGCCCTGCCCTTCCTCCACTTCATCCCCTGCCCTTCCTCCACTTCATCCCCCTGCCCTCCCTCCACCTCCTCCCCTGCTCTGCCCTCGCTCCACCTCCTTCCCTGCCCTGCCCTTCCTCCACTTCATCCCCTGCCCTCCCTCCACCTCCTCCCCTGCTCTGCCCTCGCTCCACCTCCTCCCCCTGCCCTCCCTCCACTTCATCCCCTGCCCTCCCTTCACCTCCTCCCCTGTTCTGCCCTCCTCCACCTCTTCCCCTGCCCTCCCTCCACTTCATCCCCTGCCCTCCCTCCACCTCCTCCCCTGCTCTGCCCTCGCTCCCTCTTCCCGTCCCTCCACTTCATCCCCTGCCCTCCCTCCACCCCCTGCCCTCTCCCCTCCTCCCCTCCTCCCCTGCTCTACCCTCCCTCCACCTCCTCCCCTGCTCTGCCCCTCGCTCCACCTCCTCCCCTGCCCCTCCTCCCCCTTCCCCTCCACTTCATCCCCTGCCTCCCTCCACCTCCTCCCCTGCTCTGCCCTCCTCCACTCCTCATCCCCTCCCTCCCTCCACCTCCTCCCTGCTCTGCCCTCCTCCCCTCTTCCCCTTCCTCCCTTCATCCTCCCTCCACCTCCTCCTGCTCTGCCCTCCTCCACCTCCTTCCCCTGCCCTCCCTCCCTTCACCCCCTGCCCTCCCTCCACCTCCTCCCCTGCTCTGCCCTCGCTCCCCTCTTCCCCTGCCCCTCCCTCCACTTCATCCCCTGCCCTCCCTCCCCCTCCTCCCTGCTCTGCCCTCCTCCCCCTCCTGCCCTCCCTCCCACCTCCTCCCCTCCTGCCTCCCTCTCCCCCCTCCCCTCCTCCACCTCCCCCTGCCCTCCCCTCCCACCTCCTCCCCTGCCCCTCTCCTCCTCCCCCACCTCCTCCACCTCCTCCCTGCTCTGCCCCTCGCTCCCACCTCCTCCCCTGCCCCTCCCTCCCACCTCCTCCCCTGCTCTGCCCTCCCCTCCCTCCTCCCCCCTCTGCCCCTCCCTCCACCTCCTCCCCCCTGCTCTGCCCCTCCCTCCACCTCCTCCCCTCTCCCCTCCCTCCCACCTCCTCCCCCTGCTCTGCCCCTCCTCCCTCCTCCCCTGCCCCTCCCTCCCCCTCCTCCCTGCCCTCTCCTCCCCTCCCCTGCCCCTCCTCCCCCTCCTCCCCTGCCCTCCCCTCCTCCTCCTCTACCCTCCCTCCACCTGCCCGCCCTCCTCCACCTCCTCCCCTGCCTCTGCCACCTCCTCCACCTCCTGCTCCCACCTCCTCCCCTGCCCTCGCTCTACCTCCTCCCCTGCTCCCTCCCGCCTCCTCCACCTCCTCCCCTCCCTCCACCTCCTCCCTGCCCTTCCACCTCCCTCCCCTGACCTCGCTCCACCTCCTCCCCTGCTCTGCCCTCGCTCCACCTCCTCCCCTGCCCTCGCTCCACCTCCTCCCCTGCCTTCCCTCCCACCTACTTCCCTCGTCTTCCTTGTCCTCCCTCCCTCCCCCCTCCACGCCTCTTAAGTATCATCTCAAGCGCTTATCAAGTTCCGGTTCCGCTGTGTGACGCTTCTTATACCCCAGTTGGTCGCTTTATCGGGCTAAATGTTATCCAAATATTCTGGAGCTCGCCTACGTGGTGCTGGGGAGGGAGGGAGAGAAGGAGGGGGGGGGAGGGGGGAGGGAGGGAGGAGCTTAGATAGATGGTTGATCCTCCAGCCACGGGGTCATGCTAGCACTCGGGAGGTGAGGGAAGGAGAGAGGGAGGGGGAGCGGAAGACTTAATACCCCCACCCTCCTAACACACACACACACACCTCTTAATACACTCTCATTCACTACGTAATCCATCATCTTCTGTACATAAATGTAGTCTCCACCATGCCCGCCATGACTCACACTCAGACAGAACTTTAAGACACGTATCTCTCACTAATGTGTCCTGGGTTGAGTCCCCGGTCTGGGTCAGAGGTGAGAAGGGTGTTATCCAGTGTGACATGATCTAACATAACAGGTTTTCTCCGGGTACTAAAGTTTCCTCCTGTACTAACACTGTACTAGCACTGGATACTGTTAGGTGTCGTGTGTGTGTGTGTGTGTGTTGAACATGACGTCACCTTCCTAAACGATTTAAATTGAGTTTGAAAAAAAGCAAACAGATATTAAACATTATAATTAAAAAAAAATAAAAAATTTTGTTTTATTGTCAATGACCTTCAACAGTTTTTTGTTTTCATAACACTAACACCAATATTTTTCTTCTTACAGTTTACGTGTTTAAGACCACAAGTGCCACCACTTCTGTTCACCATTATAAAGGCTTCGTTAGAATTTTCCTCCACAAACTTTGAATATTTTTTACCGTGAGCAAAAGTATAGTGATATTATTATTATTATTATTATTATTATTATTATTATTATTATTATTATTATTAACACACCTTTGAAAACACAGGTCACAACACACACGACATACTCACCCTACACACACACACACACACACACACACACACACACACACACACTTGAACAATGACAGCAGTGTTAGATAGGGAGGGAGGGGAAGGGATGGGTCTAGCAAGGTCTTCCGTCGTGTTCGTGGTTCACAGTCAATTACCAGCAGGACGCCACACACCATAAACAGCACCTCTGCCATGGCTCTTCAACTCTTGGGTCATCCTCCACCTGTTTGGCCATATGTAATACTCAGATTTCAGTGGGTTCTTCCTCCCCCTCTTCCTCCTCCAACTTTTCCGCCTCGCTTTTCTCTCTCTCTCTCTCTCTCTCTCTCTCTCTCTCTCTCTCTCTCTCTCTCTCTCTCAACTCAAAAACATAAATCAGGAATATTAAATAAGAGGCAACAGAAAATGATACGTCACTGTCATTATATAACACAGTTGAAAAAAATTGTGTAGCCCGAATTTTTTTCATTTTTTTTGTGTTTGTTAGATACATTATTTATTTCCTTGGGTTAGTATTAATTCATCATTAGTTTAGCTTTAAGGTAGGTTAGGTTAAGTTAGCATTAGTTGAGCATTAGGTTATGTAAACATTAGGTTAGGTCAGGTTAACATAGAATTAGTTGAACATTAGGTTAGGTAAACATTATGGTTATGTATGGTTAGTTTAGATGTGAAACTTTGCCTCGTCCGCATTATAACCCGAGTAGGAATACCGCTATTTTGGTGAAACTTATCTCGAATATGTGTCAAAACAATCCAAGTCTGACAACATCAAGTTCACGGCTCTGTCAAAGGTCAAGGTCACAGCTGAAGGACAAAGGTCAAAATCATGTCAGGAAGTTTAAAGTGTTGATCTTTAACGCTTATTTTTTGTGAGACTTATCTAGAATATGTATCGTCACTTGACGATATGAAGAATATTAAGTTCAAGTCTCTGTGCCAAAGATCAAGGTCACAGCTGAAGGTCAGAGGTCAAATTCAGCAACGGGTGTATGATGAATAGCGGTGCATATATTGTCTGGTGTCTGAGGGCTATAGTAACTTATACGTAGATAAGAGAGAAAGACGAAGACGGAGGAGAAGGAGAAGGA